GAGACAACTGTGCTATCATTTATTGCAGCACCATTCACAGTAGCCAAGATGTAGAATCTACCCATCCATCAGCAGACAAACTGATAAAGAAATTGTGGTTTACACCTTAAGGGAATATTATTCAGCCATAAAATGGTTAAAACCCTGTCATCGGTGACAACTTGGATGAATCTAGAGATCATGTTGGGGTAAATAAGGCAGGCACATAAACAACTATTTTGTGATCTCATTCACGTGTGGAATCTAAAAAAACTGACGTCGCCGAAGCGGAGCGTAGAACTGTAATTGTCAGAAGTTGGAGAGGGGGAGAAGGGTGGGGGAAGGTAGAGAGATTGGTCCATGTGCATGAAGCTACAGTTAGATTGGCAGAACACATTCATTGTTCTACTGCCGTCTGAATAGTTCATCCTAATTTGATAACATATACCTGCATCAAAACATCATATTCATTTCACAAATCTGTATATGTTGATAAAAATTAAAGATAAAAAAGCTTTTTAAAAAAGGTATAAAGAGCTATAGTAACCAAATCAGCATGGTACTTGCACAAAAACAGACACATGAACCAATGAAACAGAACAGAGATTCCAGAAATAAACCCACACATCCATAGCAAATTGATTCAACAAAAGCCCCCAAAAATAGAGTGGAGAAAGAACAGTCTCTGCAATACATGATATTTGGAAAACTGGAAATATGTATACAGAAGACTGAAGCTTGACCCACTACCTCTCACCCTGGACAAAGATCAACCTAAAATGAGTCAAAGACCTAAACTTAAGACTTGAAATTATGAAACTACCAGATGAAAACTTAACACAAACACTTCTAAGCAAACAATTCAGGACATCGGTATAGACTGATTTTTTGAATAAGACCCCCAAAACATTAACAAAATCAAAAGTCAACCAATGGGATGGGATTATATCCAACTAGGAGCTTCTGCGCAGAAAGGAAGCAATCATATCAGGATAACACGACCTACAGAATGGCAGAAAATATTTCTAAACTATTTATCTGACAAAGGATTAATATCCAGGATACATAAGGAATGCCACCCTCCCACACACATACACACAAATAATCACATTTAAAAATGGTTAAAGGAAATGAAAAGATATTTCTCAAAAGAAATTCAAATGGCCAATATGTTTATTAAAATGCTTGACATCATTAGCCATCATGGAAACGCAAATTAAAACTGCAATGGTCTATCATTTCACCCGTTATAATGGCTATTATCATAAAGATAAAACATAGGGGCCTGCTGTGGCACAGCAGGTTAAGCCACTGCCTATGACACCAGTATCCCATATGGGTGCTTGTTTGAGTCCCTGCTGCTCTACATCCAATCCAGCTTCTGCTAATGCACCTGGAAAAGCAGCTGAAGGTGGCCCAAGTGCTTGGACCTCTACACCCACGTGGGAGACCTGGAAGAAACTCCCGGCCCTAGGCTTCCGCTAGGCCCAGCTCAGGTTGTTGCAGATGTTTGCAAAGTGAACCAGCAGATGGAAGCTCTCTTTCTCTCCCTTTCTGTCCTTCTCTCTCTGTAACTCTGCCTTTCAAATAAAATAAATAAATCTGTTAAAAAGGAAGATAAACAAATGCTGGAGAAGACGTGGAAAAGAGGAGCTCATACACTGTTGGTATAATGCCAATCAGTACAGTCTGTATGGAGAATACTATGGATCTTTCATGGAACACTAAAAATAGATCTATCATAAGATCCAATTATCCCACTTCTGGGCATATATCCAAATGAACTTAAATCAGTGTATCAAAGAGAAACCTGCACTTCCATGTTCTTTGCTGTACTGTTCACCTGTTCACAATCACTAAGATATGGAATCTGCATAGATGCCCATCAATGGACAAATGAATTTAAAAAACTTATGAACAGAATATTATGTGGCCATAAAAATATCTTATAATTTTCAGCAAAGAGGATGGAACTGGAAGATAGCATGTTCAGTAAAATAAGTCAGACGCAGAAAGGTAAATACTGCATCTCTTTCTCCTATATGAATGCTAATTTAAAAAGCCAATCTGAATGTAGAGTACTGATTCCTAAGGTCAGAGATGGGGCAGAGAGGACAGAAGGAGTTTAGATCACGGGTCCCAAAGCAGAGTTAAGCAAATAGAAACTGTCCTAGAGTTCTTTAGCACAGTGGAATGGAAATAGCTCCCGAAAACCTATTATATACTTTATGAACAAACAGAAACCTGAAGGTTCCAAGCATACATTTAATGGTAAGAATTTGGAAATGTTAATTATCTCAATTTGCTCAATCATATACGCAGGCATCAAAATATCACACTGTACCCCATAAACATGCACAATCAAAATAATTTGGAAAATAAAAAAATGTTACTTTTTTTCCCAAAAGCCCACATCTTTCCTATCCTAGAACATTACTCAAAAACATATCTTAATTTTTCTAGCATTGAGTCATTTTTTCTAGTTTTAATAACCATGGATTGCATTTTAAATCTCACAGTGGGTCTGAGATTCTAATGAAAACGTAGAAATCCAGACATTTTGAACTATTTCATATCAGTACTTCATAGCTGGGTACCATCTTACAGCCTTTAGAACATTGTTTCCTCAAAGGACCTTTTTCATGCCTATTAACAGAACCAAATCCATCTAAATCCATCTCGCTTCTCTAAATCACATGAACACAAGGTGTTTCCCCAGCAGAATTCATTCATTCTCAAACTGTAAATGGTGAGGCCAGCACTATGCTTGGTCCTAAATAAATGGCAATAGAAATAGCTGACACAAAAGTTCAATTCAACCATTCATCTGGTTTCAGATATACCCCAGGCACCAATGCATGGAAAGTTCTCTTTTTCTTCATAATACTTGATACAGTTTCTGTATTTTCTCCCTTGTTCTCTGTGTGTGTGTGTATGTTTCTTCTATGACATTCTGTGAGGAATCTACCTTGCCATATATGCTTAACCTTAATAGAATGTCTTCCACATAGACATTAACAAAAATTTAACAAATATTTCCTTATTGTTTTCCAACTGATCAAGACACATTCCATATTTTTCCAGTGAAACCAGTTAACAGGTAGTTTCTCTAGAATAATATCTAGTAGCCTACTCCAACTCATCATCAGAATTCCTTGAGTTAGAATCATACTATCCTATCTTTATTAGACTTTCCTCCAACACAAATATCAGAATGAAGAACAAAGTTTAGCATTAATTTACTTGAAAATGACTCAGACATTTCATAAATATCTAACTTTTATCAAGATTTTGATGACTCCAAGACTGCATGCCAACTGATAAAGATTCCTTAAACTATGACAAATCCATCCACAAGTCCATCCTTAGGCCAATAAACTTTCATCCTGTTTGCTTTGTCTACTTGTTCTTAACAATTAAGCTTTAGTTGCTCATTAGCAAAGTTAGCCACCAACGGAGACCAGGAAATGCCACCTCAAAATATATTGCTTTATGGGACCAGCACTGCAGTGTAGTAGGGATGCCAGTGGTGCGGCATCCCACATGGGTGCCAGTTCAAGTTCTGGCTGTTCCACTTCCCATCCAGCTCCCCGCTAATGGCCTGGGAAAGCAGTGAAAGACGGCCCAATTGCTTGGGCCCCTGCCCCCACATGGGAGATCTGGAAGAAGCGCCTGGCTTCAGATCAGCCCAGCTCCAGCTATTGTGGCCATTTGGGGAGTCAACCAGTGAATGGAAGACCTTTCTGTCTCTACTTCTCAAATAATAAAATCTTTAAAAGAATATGTTGCTTTAGTATATTTATCATTTTAAGTTGAAGTCACTTGAAAAACACCAAAATGCAACATTCCCATTAAAAAGAAAAAAACACTCCAAAAGTACTCAGCTGTCACTAACCCTCTGAAGATGAACTGCTACCAAAGGTGGGAAGATGTCAAATACACCAGGCAGACGTTGCTGCAAACCTTCTTCTGTTTTCCTAAAGGCCCATTCGCCTTAAAACATATTTGCCCTGACCATTTTACTCATTTCAGCAGAGGGTCAAAGAATGCTGATTATGTCCTCAACGATTGTTAGCTGGGTTGCTCATTGTGACCAGATTGCAGGCCTAAAAGCCGTCACCTGGAAACCCAAACACGCGGAATAAATAGGACTCCTACTTAAAGCAAAATAGTCAAAGGTGAGGTTTGTTACACAGACCCAGACCTTGCCATCTTCACGGGAAAACTTCCAACGATGTGATCCTTTCTCTCCTCCAGGTGCAGAGAGGGAAACACCCTCACAAACGGAGACTTTCTCCACACACCTGTTTCCTTCACTCAAGACAGGTCTCAAAAGAACTAAAAACGGGCAGCTGCCCAGTGCAGCCCAAGTTCTTTGTCACTGAGTTCAAGCCAGAGCCCATCAGCGAATAGGACAAAGCAGCATCCACGCCCAAGATACCTTACGTTACTGTTCTAAGCTTAAGATTTTAGCCCAAGGGCAGGAGTTTGGTGCTGAGTTTAAAATGCCACAAGACACCCACATTCCATATCTGAATGCCTGGGTTCCAGTGCAGCTTGGCTTCTGATCCAGCTTCCTAATGCCCTCCCTTGGAGGCAGAGGCCTCGAATACTTGGGTCTCTGCCACCCACATGGAAGAACCAGACTGAGTCGTTGGCTCCCAGCTTCAGCCTGGCCCAAGCCTGGGAATGACAGGCATCTGAGGAATGAACCAGCAAATGAAAAATTGTCTTTATCTACCTTTTAAATAAAATGGAAAATAATTTTTTCTAAAAATTTTATCCAAGGCATAAAGATGGTTAAAGAAGCAGACTTCAGTGATCCAAGCACTCAATTTCTGTGAACAATTGGTTCTCTCTTCTCCTCTAGTCTTTTAAAAGCCCCTGTGTGCTAATTAAGAGATGAATTCCCCCATTGTTTCTGTGGCTTTTTTGATCCTACCTGTTCTAATCTACCCTACACACAGTTTTGTTCAAAACTCCCTTGCTGTGTCCCCAGAGTTATCTCTGGGAAGACTCACCTGACTCCTGATAGAAGTACGGGTTCCAGGCTTTCTTATACATGAAGTTGGCTGGAGTTCCAGAGGTGCGCCAGGCCCCGGGCCAGTCCTGTTTCCGTCTACCCATGTGGCCTCCGCAAATCCCACGGGTCTTATGCCCTCTAACAGCACAGTGTGGCCCCAGGTACCACCCCGTGGCTACGCATGCTCTCACAGCGTATACCCGCCCTGGACGGAATTCTACCAGGCGGAGTTCCAGATCCCCTGGATACAGATGAGCTCATAATGCCCTGGCCTTTAGCAACCTTACCTATTTCCTGGACCCAGGTCAGGATTTTTCTTGTGTGGTGGAGCCAGACACCTGAGGTCTCTCTACAGACACAGCTCTGTTCCTATTGAAGCTGACTCAACCTCACACCTAGGACTTCCACACTGCCTCCATTTCCAAACTCAGTTCAGGCCAACAATTTGTTCAAAGAGAGCTCAAAACACAAATCTGCAGATGCAACAAGAAAACAGCACCGTGGGCTCAGGGGTCCCTGTGCCGGGTTACCTGGTGCTCCCAGGGCAGCTGGAGCCCTGCTTCGGATCCTGCCGAATGCTGGTGCGAGGAAAATTCCTTAGGCCAATAAACTTAGTAGAGTTTTACTTGAGTAAAATAAAATGATTCTGGAATCCGGCACTTCCCAGAATGAGAGCAGACCTGGAGAGCTTCCTGCCTGCTGTGACCGGACGGAAGATCCAAGACAACAGAAGCAAGGCGCCGGAACCTGAATGGGCTGCACCTGTCAGCCAGCCGGTGGATGAGAACGCAGCTGGTTAATTGTTTAGCGCCTGGTCAGTTAACCGGCTACACGTTCTCCTGTAATCAGCCAAAGCTGAGTTACTGTGATTGAATCCTGTGTTGGGGTGGTCGGTTGGCTCACCACGGGTACTCGGTCTGAATCCATGGCTTCTCCATAAAACATTATTTAGCAGTCCTGCTACTTATAGGCAGGCGAGCACTTGCAAAAGGGAAGACATGCCGCAACACCCCGAGAGACCAGAACACTGTGTTCAGAGGTGAGAAAGGGTCTGTTGCTTGTGATCCCCAGTCTTGGCCCACACGGCCCTATGAAAAGAGCACTGACAACATGCAGCTGAAACCCGCAGCCCGCGTGCAGGCCCTGCCTCACCAAGCCCTGCCGGGAGACCGGGAGCAGCGGCTGGGAGGGGAAGGAGGAAGGTGCCGTGGGGCTGGCAGCGAGCAGAGCTTGTGGCAGCCACGAAGTCATCCTCAAGTCAGGCTGCCTTTGCCACACCCGCTAGCTCTAACCTGTCCCCTTTGGAATACATGTCTTGTGCTAACCAGGGCCGCACTGAAGCAATTTTCCTCAGGTGGGGCTATATCCACTCACGCTGGGACTGGGGCCAGTTGCTATGGATGCCCCCCTGTAATGCACGTCCGACTGCCTCATTGCAGTGGGAATCTTAGGACCACGATGGTGGCTCCCTCCGTTCACTCCAGAGAAAGGAAAGAGCAGCTCCTAAAGCCAGGGCTCTGTCATTTCCTTTTGGAAACACAAACTCGCAGATGACACCCCTCCTTTTCAGGACCTGTCCAATCTCACACCAATAACCTCTTTACTCTTTACTTCTGCAAAAACAAAGTCTCCATTAAAGCAATTGGCATTTAGGGGGAGGAGCCAAGCTGGCTGAGTGGAGGGGCCCTCCGTGTGTCCTCTTCTCCACAGAGAAACAATAACACGTACATCGCTTCGGACATTGCTGCATGCCCAGGGGAGAAACCTGGAACTCGGAGAGGCCTGCACAGGAAGCCCATGGGGCACAAAATAAAAGTGGAGGCAGCAGCAAAGAGAAAGGAGCCAAGTGCGAGAGCAGCAGAGACCCTAGCCCTCCCCACGGCAGGGCTAAAGTTGTCGGCAACCCTAGCTATGGGGTGGTGGTGGCGGTGGTGGGCACTCACAGTCATCCCAGGTTTGGATTGCAGCAAGACAAGTTCCCTGGATGTACCTGACAGCTTTGCATCAGAGAAGGAACTCCTGTCATCTCCCCCACAACTCTGGAGCAAAAGCCGTGGCAGCTATGACGCCATCTTGAGAAAGGAGTCACTGTTGGGATCCACCTAGAAGTCCCTGGTTACCCCCAGCCTCGGGACCTCACACACATTCCGCCAAGCTGGGAAAGGATTGTAGTCTCACGGAGCCAGCTGAAACCAGCAGCTGCAGTGCCCGTAGTGGTGCGGGACAGGAGTCCCAGCGCTGGGCTGGGTAGACATGGCTGTCCCTCTACACTCTCCCTCCCTCCCCCTAGGGAATAGCAGGCAATGGGAGCCACCAGAGACAGACCCACCCCTGCCCCACCTCAGCTCTCCTCCCCAGCCAGCCCTGCCCCAGAGACCATGACTATGTGAGCACAACCACCTGGGCTGGGCGGCTTCCCTTGCTGAGCAGGTGGTGGCTTTTTCCCTAAGATTTATTTATTTATTTGAAAGTCAGAGTTATAGAGAGGCACAGAGAGAGAGAGAGCCATCTTTCATCTGCTGGTTCACTCCTAAAATGGCCACAACAGCCAGGGTTGAGCCAGGAGCTTCATTCAGATCTCCCAGGTGGGTGCAAGGACCCAAGCACTTGAGCCATATATTCTGCTGTTTTTTTCCAAGCCATTAGCAGAGAGTTGGGTTCAAAGTGAAGCAGCAGAGACTTGAACTCGTGCCCATACGGGAGGCCGGCCCTGCAGATGCTGGCTTTACTGGCTGCACTACGGCTCCACCCTAAGGCTATAGCTTTTGTGGGTGCCCTGGACTCCAGCCCTGCCAAAGCCGGAGCCAGCCCTGGCTCTGGTGGGCATGTTTCATTGTGCACATTCATTAGAGCTGCTTTTTTCTCCTCCAGCGGAACAGAATTGGTGAACATGCATGACCACAACTTCATCTCAACTTTAACACACCGTGTCTGATCCCACACACCTGGTTGGTGCCTCAGCAGGTGCCTCATATTTGATGAGAGTCCCTGAGTCTGGTCACAGCTCAGCTTGAACACACCCTGGCTTTGGTGTGCTTGTGCGTACCTGCCTGGGCTGCAGGCTGCCTGCACTTCGGCATGTTTGCTCACACAGACCTGTTTGGTCTTCTGGCTGGTGTCTCAGTTTTGGAGAGCACTCCAGCTCCCTGTACTTCCCTAGCCCAAGCCCACCTTGGTTTTGCCTGGTCTGTTTGGTGATGCACACCTAAGTGCTTGGGCGGTGCAATGCCTTTCTTCATCAGACCCCGGTGTTGGTGAGTGTGCCTGATTCCAGATCCGGCAGAGCGGAAGCCCACCTGAGCCTTGACGGGGGCAGTTGGTAGTGCACACCCACCTGGCACAGTGCAAATCCCTTCTCCCTCAGGCCTACCCCCACTAGAACCCAAGCCTGCTCTGATTTTGGCATTTGTGGTTGGCTGCCTACATCAGCCCAGGCTGCTTGCTCCCCTTCTGTAGTGTGCTTTGGCTGTGCTGAGTGACCCGGGCTCTAGCTCACTACAGAAAGTTTGCCACAGATTTGGTGGGTATAGGGAGTTGCTCACAGAAGCCCAGGATACAAGGTCCCCTTCTCCCACTCACATTAACCGTATTGAGCATCCCAGACTCCACTCCTGCCACAGGCCAAGCCTGATCCAGGTTTGATGGGCACAGGTGGCAGAGTACACATGCCCAGGACATGGGCCTGGTTGTCATGACCACAATCACCACTAATGCCAAGACTTGCATACCCCTGTCGGGAGTGAGGGGCGCCCACCTGCTTGCCCTTGTTGATATTGGCTAACAGTGGTAGAGGGCAGTAGGGAGCGTGTAATTCAGCATCCCACTTTAAACAAAAGCCAAAGTAGCCCACCAAACTAGCAACCAAAGACACATCTTCAGGGAAAAAAGTAAAGCCTTCAATCCACATAGAGACAGTTGATCTATTATATGCACAAACACAACATTGAGATACAAGAAATATGAAAAAGCAAGCCAATGTGATACCCCAATAGGAACTCAATGACACTTTCATATCAGACCCCATAGGAAGAGAGACTGATGTAATACCTGGTTAAGCAGGACTGGCATTGTGGTATCACAGGGAAGTTGCTGCCTGCAATGCCAGCATCCCATGTGAGCATTTGTTTTCGTACTGGCTGTTCCACTTCTGATCTTGCTCCCAACTACTATGCCTGGGAAAGCAGCAGCAGATGGCCCAGTTCTTTAGTTGCTTGGGTTAGTGTGGAAGACCCAGATGGAGTTCCAGGCTCCTGGCTTTGGCCTGGCCCAGCCTTGGCCATTGGGGCCATTTGGCAAGTGAACCAGCAGATGGAAGACAGCTCTCTCTCTCTCTCTTTCCATCCATCTCCTTCTCTCTCTGAACTCTGCCTTTCAAATAAATTAAATCATTTGAAAAACAAAATATGTGAAAGTATAAAACTCACTAGGGAAAAATGCAAAGGATAGTCAGAATAAACAGAAGAAATATTAAAGAAAAAATAATAGGAATAAGCCATTGCTTATTATTAATAACTGTTAGTGTAAATGGGCTAAATTAAGGATTAAAAATATAGACTGGCTGAATGGATTTTAAAAATCCAAGATCAGCCCTAAAGGCATTCTTATCTGGCTGAAAGCCCATGAGAGTATTTCAGGCATGGAAAGCCAAGACACTCTGGCAAAAAAACAAAAACAAACAAACAAAAAACCAAACAAACAAAACAAACAAACAAACAAACAAAAACAAACAAACAAACAACCTAAATGAAAGATCTCTGTGAGTGAGATCCCAGTGGAAAGAACAGGTCTTCAAAGAAGGAGGTACCTTTCTCTGAAGGGAGGAGAGAACCTCCACTTTGACTATGACCTTGTCTAAACAAGATAAGAGTCAGAGAACTCAAGGGGCTTCCATAGCCTTGGAAACTCATGACTGGTGCATAGGGAGATAACTGATGCCATAAACAGGAGTGTCAATTTGTAAAGTCAACAATAGGAGTCACTGTGCACTTACTCCTCATGTAGGATCTCTGTCCTTAATGTGCTGTACATTGAGATTTAATGCTATAACGAGTACTCAAACAATATATTTCACTTTGTGTTTCTAGGGGGGTGCAAACTGTTGAAATCTTTACTTAATGTATACTAAACTGATCTTCTGTAAAAAAAAAAAAAAAAAAAAAATTATCAATTCCCAACTTGACTCTCACTGGGATTAAACAT